GATGGTTCTCTTTCCCGTTACAAAGCCCGTCTCGTTGCTCAAGGTTTCACACAAATTGCTGGTGTTGACTACACTGACATCTTTGCGCCGGTCATTCGCACTTCAAGCATTCGTTTCCTCCTTGTTTTGGCCACCATTTACTCCTTGGAAGTATACCACATGGACGTTCAAACTGCATTTTTGAATGGTACACTTCAAGAAACACTCTACATGCGCCAACCGCCTGGATACATTCAACCTGGACAAGAACACCTTGTTTGCCGCCTCAACAAAAGCATTTACGGCCTGAAGCAAGCTTCGCGTGAATTTAACTCCGCGCTCGATTCCTTTCTGCCTAAGGATTCTTCATGTTCTCTCCGACACACAAAGCCGCCCGGAGCCGCCCACCGCAATCGGGCCCGGCCACCAAGGTGGCACCGACCGGTCGTAACGAGTGGCAGCTAGGATCACGGGTAATACATCTTGGCGAACTCAACAGCAAATGGGGGAACAGTGCCTCGATCGTGTGGCGGGACAAGCGAAGGTAGAAGATCGCGAGCCCATCGACCACGACTTCGGAGTGGCACACTACGATACAGCTTTGAATCCACGACACCAGGACAGACTGAAAGAATGACATGCACAACGTCCACTGGGCAATCAAACTGTCCTGGCCAACGTGGCTGTTGAACGCCATCGCGTCGCTCATGATGCCGTGGAGGAAGTCCACTTGGAATGAGTGGCGGGAGCCATGGGCAAATACCCCGAAGTACTCGCTGACGACCTTGCATTCAGGGTCAAACGTGCGCAAGCTTCGCGGCAAGGCTGCCTTGAACGACCTCACTCGCACTCCAACCGCGCCACGTCCGTGGTCAGATTATCCACTTCCCCCTGTAGACGCTCCATCCTGTGCTCCAAACGGCCTCTGGCACCGTCTGGATTCGCCTATCTGAAGGCGAACTCCAAATGCGACATTGTGTTGTTGCACATTTTGGCGTTGGTGGTCATCGTGGCGTAAATGTTACGAGACTAGTGCTGTCTGACCGATTTTGCTGGTCGAACATGGGCGCGGATGTGGCCATTTTTGTTGGCCGCTGTTTACACTGCGCGGCGACGGGCGGTCATGTGCTCCGTCCGTTTGGCATGCTCCACATGCCACCATGCCAAACGAAATCATTCATTCGGATTTCGTTTACATGAAGGATGGCTACCTGCTGGTAGCCAAGGACGACTTTTCCCAGTTCAAGTGGTTCTAGGAGACCGATGTCGCCAACGCACAAGTGGTTGCGCGTTGCTTACTGCAATGGTTTGGTGTACTTGGTGTTTGTTATCACTGGGTGACCGACCAGGGGTCACACTTCAAGAACGAAGTCATCGCGGAGCTCCAGTACATGCTGGGAGCTCATCATCACTCTACTACGACACGTTGTCCTTGGGCCAATGGCACAGTCGAAAGTGCCATGAAGATCACCCTCAACACCTTTCGGGCGTTGTTGTCTGAGTGGCTAATGCAGCCAAGCCAGTGGCGGCAAATTGTGCCTATCGTGATGTTGGTACTCAACCAAACTCCCTCCGAAACCATCGGAGGGATTGCACCAATTAAGGCGATGACGGGGTCTGAGCCAATGTCCCCTCTGGATTTAATTCCAACGCCATCCTCGGCGAAGGTTATGACTTTACAAGACCTATGGGATTGTCGATGGAAAGAATTGGCAAGCCTACAGAACGCTGTGGGGAAAATACACGCAGATGTATTAGAGGCATCATTCTCAAAACGGAAGAAAAGGCGAGCTGCAAGCGAGAAGACAAAAGGCGTCAAATTGGCCGAATTTGACGTCGGGGATTATGTCCTCTACATGGATGTACTGTATGGGGCGTTAGCCCATCGCAGCTCACTGTGACTTGGCGCGTTCCCGCGCAGGTGGTTAAAGCCACCTCTGGAAGGGTTTTTGAATTCCAGAATTTGATTGCTGGGATCGTGCGCGAGGCTCACGCAAGCCGGCTGAAGTTTTACGCCGACGAGTCCCTCAATGTCGACGAAGAATAGTTGAGCCATGTAGCTCATAATGCCGACGGGCATGTCGTGGACCAGTCGGTCGATTGTCGATACAATCCAAGGACATCTGCCTTCGAAGTCTTGGAGCGATGGCGCGGCCTTCAGGACGTTGAGAATTCTTGGGAGCCGGCGACCAACCTGCTGGAAGATGTACCAGCAGTCGTGAAACGGTACGTGCACGAGCACGGTGGGGATGGCACAGTGGCGTCCATGGCCACGGCTCTTGAGCGATAGCTGGGGGGGATTGTTGCGAATCGGACATTCGCAGGAGCCATGGAGTGCATCCAAGAAACAATCCAAGACTCCGTTCAAGTTAATCGTACATGTGCTATGATAAGCTTATTGTAGTGTAGCCATTAGGGGTTTTAAGCCCTGGGGGAACAGCCCCTCGAGGAAATTCACTTTGTGATTTGCCCGTGACCACTGCGTTGTGGTTATCCTTTGTGTGCGCGAGACGGGACTTCACAAGGTCCGTCAGGTGGAGACTCAACAGAGGGCAATCAGAAAGTACCAGATGAATCCCCAATTCCATTCGGTTCCTCTCAGCCTGCCCATGCTGCAATTTCATGCCAAATGAGTTCATGGGGAAGGGAAAACAAGTGTACCTACCATTTATGGCCAGCACTGTAGTTGTCCGGTAGGAGTTCAGACGAGACGGGTAGACTCCACATCCTTACATTTCTGGTGCGGTACCGCCGTTGGTTCAACCTGCTTTGACTTCGTAGGCACTCGCGCTTGTCTTCGGCGATATTGCGTGCTGCGGAGATGTGTGTTCGAGGGGCGGGCCCCACTGAGGCTTTAGCATCTTGATAACCCATGCTTGTCATGTGACGCTCAACAGTTGTTGTGGCTGTTTTCATAGTGGCGAATGTTTCGCCAAGCTCGCGCCTGAACTTGACGGTGATGTTGTGATAGCATTCTGCGCCTCACGTTCGTGGGACTTGGACACAGGGGAACTTCATTTAGGTTGGGGATGGGGGACAACTCTTGCTCGTATTGCTTGTGGCTGCGATTCGAGTTTGGAAGCGCGCAACCTTGAAAAAGATTGCCCCCCTGTCCCAGAACGGGGCGCCTCGATTTTCCAGCGATAAGATGCCCTCACAATCTGCGCCGTCGTCGTGCAAGCCGCCTTTGAATGCAGCGAGGATTCGCGAATCTGCTGTAAAACATCGTGAGAGAGGGACGAATTGATCTCAATTCTTGGCTCGCTCTGCAGAGCGCGTGGCGGGTCAGGCGATGTGAGATGAGTCACCACTGGCTGTTGCAAGTTTATGTGAGTGCTCCGAAATCAAATCCGCTCGTTGCGACAACCTTCCGATCGGTCTTCGCTCGGGTTGGGACGTGTTGTCGGGAGTTGGCGTTTGACAACTCATTCTACTCGAGAAAAGTTGTGTGGAGGCGATGACGCTACCGATAGCCCCCTCGTCGGTGTATGCGATCACGAACGCATGATCGTGAACCCAAACTTGCCCCCATGTTTCCCCTGCCCGCCTGATGCATCGGATTCTTTCAAGTGGTGACGATCGTCGAGTAGAGGCCGAAAGAGAGTGGATCGAATTCTGATGTCACTCCAGATAGGATAGACAGTAAGGTAGCAAATTCCAAAGTGATCGATGAAGTTAGGTTCACAGTCGTAGCTGGCTAAAGGTCACGAGTGGGTCCTCTAGCTAGATGTATTCCACTCGGCTACATCCGAATTCATCTCGATCAATGTATGCAAAATGGAGTGAGCCAGTAAGAGCCCAGGATTCTGGGAAAATCACAGTTCTCATACGTCCGAGAAACTAGAAGTCTTCACACCATGGCTTTCACCGGACAACACTTCCCCCATGGCTTACTCCATCACGGAATAGTCATTGGCTATCTGCTTGATGACGGCGGAGGATCCCTTCTTGGTGCTGAAGTTCTTGAACGCCACCGCGACATCTTCGTATATGGTGGCCGTTGGCTCCCAGGCATTCTCCACGACTTGGAGACCACGCCACTTGATGAGAACTTCATAGGATTTCTTCGCTGCAATGTAGAGAGCGTCCAGGATGGCCTCCACCTCGTAACCGTCAGAGTTGTGGGCCACATGTTCCTTTAAATCTTCGGACAGATGTAGACTCTTGTCAGCGTAAAACTTGAGGCGGCTGGCATGAGCTTCTCGCTCGTCGCCGGTGATTAGGTTCTTGAAGACGTACAGCCAACTGCTGGTCACAAAAGTCAACACAGCAGGCCCACACCAGGTGGTACGCAACTTGGCGCGATGGTGCTGCCAGACGTCTTGGTAGAGCACATAATAGCCCACAACGAACTGGGCCATCTTGACACCACGCTTCTTGTCATGTGGCTTTCGCGCTCGATCGCGCTTCAATGCATTCGCCGCATTCATCTCCTTGTGCATAGCGTCCAGGGCGGCACGTGAATTGTCAATGTTGGCACGCTGCATCGACTCGATCTCATTCAGGGTTGCTGACTTTAGGGAGCCAGGTAAAGAGATCGTGTCCATCGGTGACATGGCCGGACGGCTAGACATGGCGGTGACAGGTGCCAGGCCACCTAGAGATGGGGACGGAAGCTGGTTCATGATGAGCATGATGACCAGGTGGATCTCGTTCGACTGGGTTGTCGCCACGCGCCACTCACTCAAACAAGCCCGAAACAGACGCAACAGTTGACGCATCACTACCTCGACTGTCCCATTCGCCCACGGACAGCGAGCTGTGGTGAAGTGATGGTGCGCTCCCAGTACATGTTGGAGCTCGGAGATGACTTGGTTCTTAAAGTGAGTACCTTGGTCCGACACCCATTCATAGCACACACCAAACACCGCAGACCATTGGAGCAGACAGTCCTTGGTGAACACTGCCGTGGCCTCCTTGGAAGGAAATAGCCACACCAGTTTGCTGGCGTCACACTTGATCACCAACAGATACCTGTCACTCTTCTTGGAGTCTCCCATGAAGAGATAATCCCAGTGCAACAAACCATTTGGCTGGGTAGAGTGCAGGGCTTCCCCCAATGGTCGTGTCGCACCACCGGATACACTGGCACAATGCAGGCAGCGGTCGACGAAGAACTGCACGTCCTTCTCCATGGTGCTCCACCAGCAGAACACCAACAAACTCTCAAGAGTATGACTGGCAGCCCGATGTCCGGCCAAACTCGCATGGGCACACACACAAGCGTAGCTGCAGTTCGCTTGCCTCGTCTGGCACCAATAACACCTGGTTAACCAACCGTAGAGACCACGTCTCGCCGGAGTCGAGTTGGATTTGATGCTCGGCTAGCTGGATAGAATTTAGGGGTAGAGCAACCGGGGTGTCAGTGTCCAGCCGTTCTCGTTGGGCAGCTCCAATGGACACCAAAGTCGGCCACTCAAAGGAGCTGCTTCGCAAGGGAGATACCATCAACGGTTCTCGGCTGATGGCAGAAATGGACTTCAGGGGCGATCCTGAATGCGAGAGCAGGTTGGCCCACACGTTCGTCTCTCCAGGTATGTCGCGGATCTCGTAGCTGTATCCCATCAACAAATGAGCCCAGCGTTCCAGCTTCTGGGCGGTATACTTTGGTACAGAGGACACCACGGCTGTCGGGCTAAAGATGAACTTGAGATTGCGATGGTCAGTGTAGAGTGTGAAACCAGCTACAGGATGCAGCAGATAGTCAGCCCTGATCAGTGTTTCCACGATGGCATAGGCTTCCTTCTCCACAATGGCCCAGCGTCCAGCAGATCCCGTGAATGTCCCGCTCAGGAACATGAGTGGCTCATGGGATTGAGCTTCCAAAGGTCGCTCCAGCTGGTCCGGTGGGACTTGAGTGATTACAGCACCCCAGTGCTCTTCCGAGGCGTCGGCGAACACACACAGCCTCTTATCTGGCTTGGGATGGCTGGGTTCCACCACCTTGGCTAGAGCCATCTTGGTGGCTTCCAGCGCGGCGGTATGAGTGTCATTCCAGCCGACATCAGCCAGCAGCACAGTACAGTAGCTGCCAACTGCTTGGTACGCTTCCCACCAACTGCAGCAAACACGCGTTCCAGTACCGCCGACAGGTCTCGTACCAACACGTTGAAACCAGGGATGGACATACTCATCCAGTTGAGAGCACACACATACTGCTGGAGGTCAGCACCTGTCTTGGGCTCCGACAGTTGTTGCAAAGCCTCCACCCGCGCTGGGTCGTGTTTCACACCCGTCCCGCTGATGATGCGGCCACACCACTTGGCCTCCTTTGCGTAGAATTGGCACTTTTTCGGGTGCAGCTTCAGACCACGCTTAGCACAGACTTCAAGCACTTCAGCTAGAGCCGAAAGCAGGCCAGTTGGCGTTTTGTGGTAGCCCAGAAGGTCATCCAGCCACGCTAACAAACACCTGTACAGCTGCTCAGCAAACATGGCTTGAACGGTGGACTGGCAGTAGGCCACACTGTCGCTGCCACCTTGCATGACGCGGGTGGACGTGTAGACACCGGTGTCCGTCAAGAAAGAGAACATCTCTTGACAGCTCTTGTCCAAGGAGAATTGCCAGTAGCCTTTGAAGAAGTCCAAGATGAAAAAGCACGTGGCGCCACGCAAATGGTCCACAACAATTTCCAACATGGGCATCGGCCAGGCAATCTGCTCCGTCTGGCTGTTGACAGGGTGCAAGTCCACCGTCATACGGAACTCATCCTTGGTATGGGGCTTGCGTACGATCAAGGGTGCACACGCCCATCGGCTGGTAGGGTTTCGATAGATGACACCAGCCTTCTCCAGCTCTTCCACATGCTTATGCATGAACTCGCGTTGAGGGAGAGAGTAGCGCCTCCCCTTGCAACGAACTGGCTTGGAGACCCTGGTGGGATGCACCTTTAAGGGGGGTATGTCCACGGGCGGATCGTGGCCAAGCGTAAGCCGGAACACGTCCACATACTTGGCCAAGAGCTTGGATAGAACCAGGGCAAACTCACTGCCACAGCCTGCTGCCATGGCTTCAGCCACCTTGGCATCCAAAACAGCCTAACATTGGCTTGTTTCACAGCGGGGTCCACAGGTGTCATGTCAGGGAAACATGCGGCCAGCTCCATGGGCACCAGAGCCTTTTCCTCATCGGCCAGGTCATCCACCAACTCTTGCTTGGTCGCCAGCATGACTGCCTTTACCACCCCACTTGTTGACTCCACGTCCCCCATGTCATACTCGCTGCTAACCGATGCCGCATCACGTAGCATGGACTGTGGGTCGTAGCCAAGTTTGTACATTATGGGACGGCTCAGCAGGATGCCACCAACACCAGACGGCAGGTCACCAGAAGAGAGCCAGCACTTGACGTCAGTTAGTACCAACGGACCGACATCTGTCTCGAAATTGAGCGTCAGCTTGACTTCTTGGGTCACTGTGTGGCTTGGACCAACGAATCCACGCACCGAAATAGGTGCGGGCAATTCTGTCACCACCATGTCACGCCCGGCGTCTTGCAGCCGCTTTAGCGTCCTTGGCGGGATCACACTTTGGTCCGCTCCACTGTCGAACGACGCGTCCATCGCTATCACATGGTTGGCGGTACACACAACTCTCGCAGCACACAGGATGGCCGTCGTTTCATTCGGCTCAACTGTTTTCACCTCCTTGGCAATGGTGACAGGCTTTCCTTCCTTCTTGGTTTCGGCCATATGACCTTGGCTCGGTCCATCAACTGGCGAGCCTCACCACTTGCCACATTGCGACACTTGAACACATTGTGGTCGGTGCTCAGACACTTGAAACACCTTCCGTCATTCTGGGTGAAGTTTGCCAAGGGCACATTGCCCACGTTGACTACGGCGATAGCTTTGTTCCCTTTCTTCGGATGGCCCCGGTTTCCTTTGAGCTTCTTCAGTAGTTCCTTCACCTTTTCCGGCACCGGCTTGGGGGGAAGAGAGGCAGCTTGAACCCGAGGTTCGAATTCGTCGTAACGCCGCATGTATTCGGCAAGCCAATTCTTGAAAGATCGTGCATCATTCTTGTACGCACGGTTCTCGTGAAGCTTCATTAGTTCGCGCACACGCTTCTGCACAGCAAGTGGCGTGATGGCCGCCATCAGGAAATCCACAGTCAGCTTGGGTTCGGTCTCGGCGAATCCTTCCATGTATAGACGGACAAGTGGAGCTTCAAAGTCGTTCACCCGCTTGGAGACTCGCGATTCGGCTGAGATGATTGACCTGTCCATCTTAAGCTTCCCCATTGCTTGGTTGAGCTTAGTCATGTCTACTGGGTCACCGTTTCGGGCACTCAGGAAATAATCACGCCAGTCTTCATCGTTTAGCTCATGGCTCGGCTTGCCATTTCCCAAAACGCTATGCGTTCCCCCGCCAGCGGGTCGATACAGCCGCTGATAGGCATCTGGCAAATTTGCAGTCCACCAGGACGCTGTGCATTGGCCAGACGGATCTCACGTATGTACGCTTCATACTGGTCCATGAACCGACGCTTCTGCACCTTCGTGCTTCCATTAAACGTCGGGGCTTTGGGCACCTCTTGAAATCCGTACACCAAATGCACACCAACAGTCGCCGGGGCTTGGACAGTTTGAGGGGCTGGTGTCGCCGTAAACGCGTGCCATCTGGCGCTTGTACGTCGCCGCATGTCTTCCAGCGCTTCCGCTTGTAGAATCGATGATGCAGCAGCCGCTCGTAGCCCTTGGTCGTGGTTCTCAGTGGTACGACGCTGGACTTCCAGCTGAGCCATCAGTTGGTTCTGCTGGTCACGCTGCAATGCCAGCTCAGCCATCAGTCGCTAGTTGAGTTCCATTCTGGGCATTGGCCTGCATCTGTTGCTCTTGATGGAGTGCCATCAACTGTTCGTAAGTGTGTTGGTCTTAGGCCCCAAAAGCTTGTTGCATAGTGTCGGTACGCGACGCAAGTGCGTCCACAGCTTGGCCCACCTGGTGACGCAGCTGCTGAACAGCCATGTCGGGAGGATACTGGGCAAACGGCGGAACAGCGGAGGCGTAGATGGCCTCCTGGGATCGGGTTCGGGTCACCACTGGCTGTTGCAAGTTTATATGAGTGCTCCGAAATCAAATCCTCTCGTTGCGACAACCTTCCGATCGGTCTTCACTCGGGTTGGGACGTGTTGTCAGGAGTTGGCATTTGACAACTCATTCTACTCGAGAAAAGTTGTGTGGAGGCGATGACGTTACCGATAGCTCCCTCGTCGGTGTATGCGATCACGAACGCATGATCCTGAACCCAAACTTGCCGCCATGTTCACCCTGCCCGCCTGATGCATCGGATTCTTTCAAGTGGTGACGATCGTCGAGAAGAGGCCGAAAGAGAGTGGATCGAATTCTGTTGTCACTCCAGATAGGATAGACAGTAAGGTAGCAAATTCCAAAGTGATCGATGAAGTTAGGTTCACAGTCGTAGCTGGCTAAAGGTCTCGAGTGGGTCCTCTAGCTAGATGTATTCCACTCGGCTACATTCGAATTCATCCCGATAAATGTATGCAAAATGGAGTGAGCCAGTAAGAGCCCAGGATTCTGGGAAAATCACAGTTCTCATACGTCCCAGAAACTAGAAGTCTTCACACCATGGCTTTCACCGGACAACACTTCCCCCATGGCTTACTCCATCACGGAATAGTCATTGGCTATCTGCTTGATGACGGCGGAGGATCCCTTCTTGGTGCTGAAGTTCTTGAACGCCACCGCGACATCTTCGTATATGGTGGCCGTTGGCTCCCAGGCATTCTCCACGACTTGGAGACCACGCCACTTGATGAGAACTTCATAGGATTTCTTCGCTGCAATGTAGAGAGCGTCCAGGATGGCCTCCACCTCGTAACCGTCAGAGTTGTGGGCCACATGTTCCTTTAAATCTTCGGACAGATGTAGACTCTTGTCAGCGTAAAACTTGAGGCGGCTGGCATGAGCTTCTCGCTCGTCGCCGGTGATTAGGTTCTTGAAGACGTACAGCCAACTGCTGGTCACAAAAGTCAACACAGCAGGCCCACACCAGGTGGTACGCAACTTGGCGCGATGGTGCTGCCAGACGTCTTGGTAGAGCACATAATAGCCCACAACGAACTGGGCCATCTTGACACCACGCTTCTTGTCATGTGGCTTTCGCGCTCGATCGCGCTTCAATGCATTCGCCGCATTCATCTCCTTGTGCATAGCGTCCAGGGCGGCACGTGAATTGTCAATGTTGGCACGCTGCATCGACTCGATCTCATTCAGGGTTGCTGACTTTAGGGAGCCAGGTAAAGAGATCGTGTCCATCGGTGACATGGCCGGACGGCTAGACATGGCGGTGACAGGTGCCAGGCCACCTAGAGATGGGGACGGAAGCTGGTTCATGATGAGCATGATGACCAGGTGGATCTCGTTCGACT